GAGGAATATCTTTGTGTGGAAATTACTATATTTATATATGGATGATATGGAATCTTGATTATACTAGAAACTCTATTTAATTCATTATAATTTCTACTGCTGCTGCATCATATCAATATCTATGAAACATTAGCTTATTTTTCAAGTCCCTTAAAAGCTTAAAGAATATTTGAAAAGACAAACTATATTCACTGGAATCTCTTAATTGAGAGTATATATACTACGTATAATTAATTGAAGGAATGCTGCGGGAAGTCTTCCAGAAATTAATAATTAAACTCTATTCCTCCGGATAAAATTGAGAAGACAATTATGAGATCGAATTTTCAACAGAAGAGTGGCCAAAGGATCGCAAGGTTCTGAACTTAGAAAAGTTTTTTGGAAAAAAAAAAAGAAAGAAAAAGAACCCCAAAAACTGGTGAATAAAGATGGAAGGTGAAGAGACATAAATCGATTTATACTACGACAGTACGACAAGAGTTTCAAGTTTTTAACTAATGACCAACGAGAACTTTCAAACTGAAGAGTCAGAAAAAAAAAATTATCCGGGGTCGATCGACCTGATCCTCTCCTAAATCCGTCCATGTTTCCAAAAGCATGCATGTCAACCATTATATAAATATTGGGATTGATTGATTCGAGAAAGAATTTATTCGACTCGAATTCAAATTAGTTCAGACACTTGATGCAGTAAAAAAACATGATCTTGGGAAAATGTTTATATCACTTTTATGCAAATTTTTGGTGTGCCCGACTTAAATAAAAAGAAATCAAGATGTATGAGGCGAATCAATTGAATAGAAGTTTCCAAAGCTCAAAATTCATGACCCCCCAAACCTCCAAAAGTGATTTTGGGGTAGATGTAATGTGTTCTATGTGGGGATTGGTACACATTGCAAATTGTACGAACACAATTGATTGGCTCCAAAGGAATGTTAAGGAAAAGTGATGATCATCGAGCTAGAGATTGGCAAAAGCAAACAAATGAACTCAATAGACATTAATTTACTAGCCAATAAGAATGAATAGTGGTGTTGAGGTGTATGCATATGGCCCGTGTAGATGGACCGATGGTATCTTTTTAAAAAAAAAAAAGAGAAAAAAATGCAAAGAAAAAAGCTATATATAATGTGGCAATTGGGTACTTTGCATCATTCCGTGACAAGAAAATGACAATATTTGGATCTTTATGTGCTTAAAAAAGATTTAAAAGAATTATTAGATTATAAATAAAAAACAAATACACATGTATATAAAATAAAACAGCCCACTAGCTTTAGGTTAAGCATTTGATACGTGGGTGTATTTAGGAGCAAACAGTATATAATTGGGCCGTTCATCACGTGATTAATCGCAAGATGATGGATTATTTGGACAGTATTCCATTTCCGCTTTTTAAAGCAGCTTTATTTTATGTTTTTGTGTCACTGTTTTTTAAACATTTTCAAATTAAGTATTGCAAAAGTGAATATTGCAAATGAAAATGCAATTTGTACGGATTCTATTTGTACATTACTCATTTTTAACGAAATTGTTTAATGTTAATTGAATTTAGCCTTCTTTGATATTGTGTAGTAGGGGACTAACATAAACATAATCCTTTTCTTCTTCTTTTCTTTTATACTCATCCAGTTGCTTATTTACTTAATCTATTGCATGGATGCATTATAATTATTTTTGTAAACACTTACACATAATATTCTTCCCTTTTTTCCCCAAAAGAAAAAAGCACTTCGAAAGTTTCATTAAAGTGCCGAAACATGTTTCTTTCTATTCATCCCCATATCACTTCTCCACTATCTAATTTCATGTAAGCAACATCAAGACAAGAGCGTTTGCATTTGTAAATATAATACAAGAATCACATAATTTAGTTGGAAAAAGAAAAACATACTCTCTCCGTCCCATAATTATTGTCTAGTTTTAATTTTCATTTTTAGTTCAAATTGTACTAAAAGTGAAATATCAAACTGGACAATAATTTTGGGATAGATAAACTATTAATCTTCTCATCTGGTAAAAAGAATCATGTTTGTCTGAATTTAATTAATACAATGCAACAAAACTTAGTCTTTTTTTTTTTTCTTTTCAGGACAAAGGAACTAAAACAACCAAAAAAAAAAAGATGGGAAAAAAGGAGCAAAACAAGGAAAGGAAGAAGAACAAGATTCTGAAATAGTTTTGAAGCTTTAAGAACAAGATTGACATAAACGGAAAGGAAGAAGTCTCCATCCATCATATCTTTAGATGCTCTAATTATTTATTTGGTTACTGGAAGAAGTATTTACAGGAAGTTAAGATTAAATGTTGTCCTATCAAACAATGCGTTCAGAATTATGGGGCATCTCGATCGTTTGCACCTGGTTTTAGACATATAGACCTAGCTCCGATGCTTCAACAACCAGCATTAACGCTAACTTTTACATTTTCTTTTTGAACTTTAAAAAGAATAAATATTAATAAGGAACGTAATTAATTGATACTCTCATACAAGCTCCACAGTAAAATTATCATTTCCTCCGTGACATAAGAACAGTCTTAATTCTTTGGTAATGTACTGTGTACTAACCCAATCTAAAATTTGTTTAAAGCGAAAAGATTCTTAGTTTAATGGTAAATGCTTAAAGAAATAAAAAATTATGTGGATGAAAAACATCATTAGGGACATGGAGTTGTATTTTTTTACAAAAAAATGTATTAGTAAGTATATATTCATTCGTATCATGATGTTAACCATTTTTCAAGGTTATGTATTTTAGAATACAGAAAAAGTAAAACCCATCAAAAGAACTATATGTTTCATTGAAAAGTTGTAATTAAACATAGAGTTTGAGTCCTTAATATCATATATACTTTTGTGGGAAGAAAAATCCTACTATCCCTAAATTCAATATTCAAAAATTATTTTCAATTGAATTTTCTTCAAGCACTTGAAATTAAAATTAGTGATATTAAAGGGGGGGAAAACAATCTATTGCCGGCCTCTTCACTCATTGCCATCACAGCTTTCAATTAATTGTAGCATTAGTGCCAAGGAACTGAAAGTAGAACTACCTTAGGCTCGGGCAAGCAGCAAAAAAGGCTAACAATATTATTAAGAATGACAGTATGCTCATATTAAATTCGGAGTTTGTATGGGAAAATTGAGACATCTGACTAAATTACAAACATTTTAAAAAACCATTTTAAAAAATACCCATGCACAAAATTAATTAATTAAAATATGTATGATGTGTTTGTGGTCCAAATAGCAAGCAGAAAGAATTGAAACATGAGGTGAAATAGAGATAGCAATTGAGCTACAAAACTATATATGAGAATGCTGCCTATAGTCTATCCATAATAAAAAGTACACAAAAAATTTATTGGTCCCCTCCTAGCAGCATATCTAAAGTCAATTCCATACTATTCAGCTGAGATCTACTACAAAAGGTCATAATTAATGTAACCAACACATTTTTCTGGCTCCCTTTGTGCATTTTTTCCATATTGTTTTTGTGGTAAAGAGAAAGAGGAAGGAAGGAGCTAGGAATGGAGCTAACTTGGGGGTATTGGCGATCTTAAATCACATTCTTTAGAAATGACTCCAATGATGCTTTTAACTTGATTTTGAAATATTAAATAAAGTTTCTGATTTTTTATTTACACCTCTAATCGGTCCGCGATTTCTTTAATCGATTACTCCCAAGTTGACAGAAATACGTTATTGCAGTCTTGTTGATTCGTTCGCCTATTTCGGACTTAACCGATTCAATGTATATCGATCTAACTGTCAAATCTATTACTCCCTCCGTCCCCAAAAAAATAATTCACATTAAATTTTAGTACAAATTTAAAAACTCAATGTAGACTATTTTTGTGGGACGGAGATAGTATAATAAAGTCATATGCCTTAATTCTGTTTCAACAAACTAAATTCTTTTTGGAGGGACGTGGGAGAATATTTTTTCCATAAGTTAATTATATTTTTAATAATAAACTTGAGATACGTTGAGAAAATTTGTCTTGATATTGAGAATTAACTACATACTATATAGCTAGGGAATTACTGGATTCATAGATAGGGGATACGGGGTTTGTTTAAGTTGCATGCAAATAAGGCTACATAGATTAAGGACTAGGGCTATAGGCCTTTCAATATTTTGTTAAAAGAAGTTCTAGAGTAGCTGGTAGAATATTTTGTCCTGTAATTATGAAGAAAATTTTCACATCTTGTTTCCTCTTCTTTGTGGATGCATTAAATTGATCGGTGCTGGCTTCTTTGGTATAACATTTTGCCACGAGACAAAGGAGAAATCTTTTTTGGAGCTTAATAATTGATGAAAATAAAAGAAAACCTTACGAGATACATATTATTACTATTTAGCCATACAATGTTCCTCATGTTTTCTGAAAACCGGCATAAACGTTACATATAACACTCAAACTAATCTTCACGTGGATCGTAAAGTTCTCATAACCATTATTTATTCACAAACAGACTATCTATCGTACTGGAGACCAAATGTTCCTTCTTATCTTCCCCGGGGTAATAATTTAAATGCAAGCGGAAATGTAAACGAGGAGGAAAGGGAACTGCAGAGGGAGATGAGGAAGAAAGTCAAAAATTCCACAAAAAGCAGAACCTAGTTGCAAAAGAAGTACTGAAGTTAATGCTAAGCACTCGGATGAGGGCAAAGTCAAAGTGTCAAACTTCAAAGCCCCCCCAGAAGCTAACTAGTAGAATAATTATTACAAAACCGAGTTTTTTTTATATATACATATAAAACAAATAAAGTGGTACAGACAACAATTAATTAAGCTAATTAATGAAGAAAATAAATTTTTTTTTTTTTAAAAAAAACAAGGTCCTATTGCGGCTACCTCTCGTGTGCTTTTTTCTTCTTTCTTTCTCTCTCTCTCTCTCCATGTGAGAGAAAGAAAGAGATGGCTTAAATGGCTTTTTTTTTTCTTTTTTTTCCAATCCAAAATTTTCAAACCTCCTCTATCCATCTATATAAAGCTTCTCCCTATCCCCTCAAAACACAATCCTTCTCTCTCACCTAATTTTCTTTCCTTCAAAAAAAGAGAAGAAGAAAAAAAAAATCAATCATCTCAATTACTTCCTCTCCTTTCTTTCTTTCTATCTATTCTTGAATTTCTCAAACTAACCTTTTGTGTACCAATCCATCAATCAATCAATCAGTTTCTCCAATTAAGGCAAATACTAATACAACATGGATCATCTTCATCTTCATCTTCATCATCAGCAGCAACAACAACAACAACAATTTGTTAAAGGGTTCTCATCTTCATCCACAAACGGGAGAGTTTACGATTACAACAACAATAATTTTGATAATACGATGAATAATTATCAAAGCGTTGTCCAACAACAACAACAACAAGTTTCTGCCAGTAGTGGAACAAGCAATAGTAGCTTGGAAGACGATGAAATGATGAGTGGCAACGTCTCATCGGAAGGTGGCGGCGGAGAAGACTTGAGAAGAGGGCCGTGGACGGTTGAGGAAGACTTCACCTTAATCAACTACATCGCCCGCCACGGCGAAGGCCGGTGGAACTCCCTTGCCCGCTGTGCCGGTAAATTCACCGATCATTTCATTCATTTCTCATATACATATATCTAATATAGTACAATGATATTGTATAGTACAAGTTAATGTGTGAACTTTACCAAAAGAGTTTAATCATTATGGGACCCTTCTTTTTTTAAATTTTTTATTAATGTGGCTTGTATATGATGATTATGATTTTTTCAGGTCTAAAGCGAACTGGAAAAAGCTGTAGATTAAGGTGGCTGAATTACCTACGCCCGGATGTTCGACGTGGAAACATCACCCTTGAAGAACAACTCTTGATTCTTGAACTCCATTCTCGTTGGGGAAATAGGTGCGTTATTATATAATTTAATTTTTATTAATCTTATACTAGTATTTAGTTTGATTTTAAGATTGTGATGATGACCAATGGGATATTTTTGTTTTTTCGGATGTTATAATTACAGATGGTCGAAAATAGCACAACATTTGCCGGGTCGGACCGACAACGAAATCAAGAACTACTGGAGAACCCGGGTTCAGAAGCATGCCAAGCAGCTTAAATGTGACGTGAACAGCAAGCAATTCAAGGACACCATGCGTTACCTCTGGATGCCAAGGTTGGTCGAGCGGATTCAGGCCGCCGCCGCAGCCACCACCACCACCACTTCCTCCGCTGCCGCCACCACCGTCGTCAACCCAACCTCCTCCTCCTCCTCCAACTACGTCAACAACTACCACCAACTCAACCCTCAAATGATACCGACCGCCGCCGTTTCTGGTGGGTTTACACCGGAGAACTCGAGCACCACTGGCGGGGCAGCCTCGTCGGACTCATTCGCCACCCAGTTCTCGCCGGTTTCTGACTTGACGGACTGCTACAATAACTACCCTCCGGCAGTTAATCAAGGCAACGGTGTTACTACTAATACTACTAATCCTCCACCGCCACAAGATTATAACTATTATCATGGCGGCGAGCCCAGCGCCTTGATAAGCCCCACCGCGGCTTACTTCCAAGGTTTGGACATGCAAATCAACGGTGACAACAACAACAACAACAACAACGTTAACATGAGTTGGATGACGATGATGGACGGTGGAGATTTGTCGACAGACAATTTATGGAATGTGGACGACGCTTGGTTCTTGCAGTAGTCCAGCTGAGCTAGTAAAACTATACTTAACACAAATTTCATTAATTTCCACATAATTCCATCCCTCTCCAATTAATCACTTGTTTTATTATTTAGTTTTTTTTTTTAAGAAAAAAAACCTTTGGGGTGTTAAAATTGAAGGGAAAATTTCCATAGAGTGATCGGGTAATTTAGTTGATTAACATGTTGATGATACACAAGAAAAAGATATTAAAGGGTTCTTGAATCATCAACACGGTTAATTAATTGATAATCCTAGCTAGTACAATTTGTTAGGACACAAAACTGAGAGAAGAATTGATTTGTACTTTTGTAGTAATATTGGAGATGAGAGAGAGGATAATTAGTATATATATTTATATATGTATACGTACGATTATGATCATGTAATGTTTGTCATCTTTCTGTCCATCCCTTGTAATATTTTTTTCCTTCCCAATTTGAGGGTTCAATTTATTTAGTTCTTTGGTTGATTTCCATATATTATAAGTTTATAACTACTATAGACTTCATACTTTTAGTTCCAATTTACAGATATAGTTATTTTTGTCATCTCTATATGGATTAGGCTTTCGAGTTTAAGGGTGATTTGATTTGTTCATATTAGGAAAGCTAAACTGAGATTATTCTTTTTTTCTCTGATAGTATCATCATCCATGTATATATAATATTCCACCAGTAATGTGAACTCTCTCTATATATTGCACTTTAATAAACATAGCTTGTTGTTTATATATGCATATAGTGACTGACTTATGGGGATCAACATCATAGAAGGGGGTTATTGTGGGGGGTCTTTCTTAGGTTAATAATTAATGTTTTTGTAGAGAAGTGCATAATTGGTTCCACTATCTTTACCGGAATGTCTTTGTTGCTTGTTTATTTTAATGAGGAATTGTGAATCATGGAATTTGTGAAACATGGCCTATGGGGTCTGAACCAAAGATTTAAAAGATTAACTTAACCCCAATTTCTTTGTCATTCCCTTTGTCCTTTAATTGTTCTAGATTGTTTACGGAGAAAATGAGGGTAACCAGTAATGATTTTATAGCTAGACGTAGCATATTCTAAATCATACACACTTCTTCTTTTCCTCGTGTATTGATGTTCGAAATTAATATCTTAATTTATCTAGATTCGAATTGGAATATTTTTATTTTAGAAATCAAAACTTTATCATAACAACTCCCTTAATCAATGTTGGATGCAAAGGATTCAAATTTCTCATTTTAACAGTACATAATATTGTATCTTGATATTGGAAAAAGTCGTAAATCACTGTGTTTTTTTTGGGGGGTCTAATGTTGTTGTAATGTGAATGCCACGTGAGTGGTCACGCACACATACACCAACTACGAAAAACAAAAGAATATGGACCAATAATCGATCTTTTTTAAAGACTTATAATATTATGTGAATGATGATTATTTATTTACATGGGATTGGGGTGCTTTTGTTTGCCATGTTCGGGACAAAGTGACTTGAACTCTTTGAACTCGACATTCACTTTAATACTTAATTAAACTTACTCTCATCAGACGTTTTTTCCTTAATAACTCATCATCTCTATCCGCCCCAATGTCCTTCAATTTGCATCCACTAACCAATATGAATATGGTTTAACTTGCTGAATATTCATACGCATGTGTGTCCTTACACAAAATCTATTTAAGCCAGAGTTCGTCTCAATGTTTAATTCGAGTTTTATTTTTTCTCATTCTAAATATATATTTTTTTACCTCATTACATACGGATTAAGAAAGAGTAACATGTTACGTACTCGTACATATTACTTAGTAAAAGCGATGGTGATAAACTGATAATTTTTTATTCGAACATCTATATTTTCTTACATGATATAAATATCAAACAAGTGTAATATCACTGAAGGGTTTGAGTAAATTCATGTTACTAGCAAACTATTGTGTGATCATAATGCTCCTAAAAATCCTTGAAGAGTGAATAGACCATAAAGTCATTCTTTGTTATGTATACAAAAACTAAGACAAAAATGTTGGTGATGGCGGCATGGATGTGGAAGAGAGGCAAGAAACTGGACGGCCCACGTGGAACGGAGTCGAAAGAGGTGGACGTTGGAAGTCCTCCTCCGCCTTCCTCCTCCTCCCAGTCATAGCTTTTAGTGTGTGACTGTGTGTAAATGCTGGACTAGAAAGAAAGAAAGAAACGAAACGAAAGAAAACGTGATGGAATATGAATAGTCTCCCGGGGGGATATATGAGTTGGCGGCGGCGTATGGAGGAGGGGAATCTTTTTTTGTGTCTTTGCTGTTACGGGGGCGCGTGCCGTTTTGCGAAGCCACCAGAGTGGTCCCCTTACCGCCGGTAATCGGAAATGGTGTTGTGGGACTTACACGTGTACATTCCAAAAGTTAGGCTTTATTAAAGAAATAAAATTAAACCCTTTTCTTAAAATATAAAATAATAATAATAATTGATTGATTCTAGCAACAATAATAATAATTAGCTGCCGCAACCCTTGAAAAAACCATTATTTCTATATCCTACCCCACTTTCTTTTTCTTTCTTTTCATCCTGAAGGTGCTACTGCTTCCACTTTTTTCAATTTGAAAAATGAAAACCGCCGATCGAAAAATTCTTTTTGGTGTTGTATAAAAGACTGAATTTTAAAATTAATAATCTGATAACAGTTAATTTTACATGGATATAAATTGCAAATTTATGAATGAGTTGGAATATTAACTGAACAAACATTTAGGAGGGAACGTAATAATTTTTTATCTTTTTTTTTTGGGGTCCCCTTGGTGTTTTATTATTTATTTATTTATTTTTGCTGAATGGTGTTTTATTTTTAAATGAAAGGTCTGCATAAATTCGTGAATACAATATAAATACGTTGAAATGTATACAAGTATAATTTATGAGATTAATTTGATTAGTCTCCTTGTACAGATGATGATGATGATGAGATTAAAGAAAAGGAATCTCAGTACAATTTGGCTAGCTATACATGCAAGTGATTGTTTTGGATGTTAGTCAAAATCCGTACATTTTAGCAACCGACATTTTCATCTAATTGTTTACTTCCAATGTGAATGTTCAATAATGGTTAAAACAGTGTTAAAACAAACCAAAAAAAGAAGGAAGACCTGAAACTCAAATCTGATAGCAAAGTTTCTAGACGTGATTGCATACAAGCAAATCTAACACAACAATACCAGCAAACCTTTATCTTATTATATGAGATTATTATTTATCCTTATAATTGTTATCTTAATATTTTTGTACGAATGTTGTAGCTTGCATTCGAAGAATTCAGTAATTTTGAATTTCAAGAAAAAGAAAAGACAATTAAGGATTTAGGTTTGTTAAAACTTATCCCACAAGTACCAAGAAGCACTTGGTCTAAGTGGTAAAAATATTGGATCAAGTTAACTATGACTCGGATTCGAACTCGTACATGGACATACAGCAATAATTAAAATACTTAATGGAAGAGTTTTACCTCTCAAAAGAGACCTACCCGACTAAAATCCGAATTAATTACAGGCTTACAACAATGATTTCGGATACCGGGTGAAAATGTTCATCTTCAAAGTATTAGAAGATCTGGATACCATTAGAGGGTGTACATATTCTACATCAACAACTTTCAAAAGGTAGAAACTAAAATAATACTTCAACCCCACAAAAAACAATTTTATTTTCAAATAGGTAAAGTTTGGAACAAGAGAACTGGTTAGTTTATTCTACACGACCAAAAAGATTAAGCCAAGTTGTTGTAAATTAAATCCCATGATGAAGGGGGGAAAAATCGACCATCTCATGATCTTCTTTCTTTCCGTTTTGATACATGAGCCAAGTATAACTCATTCATTGGCGAATTCTTAATATCAAAGATCATCGGGTGTAAAAATTATCCATTCATGATTTTCTAAGGGCCCCTGTATGTCACGTGATGAGCCAAATCGATTATTGATCTACTTATTACTCAGTCCGGTCCTTAATATAAAATATTTTTGATTTGTTATAGGTTTCATCTAATATGTATTTTTAATTAAAAAATCTTAAAAATATATTTTCACATTCGTTGTATTTTCTTAATTGTTAGGAAATGGTTTTATATAAGGTTTTCTTGTCAATTAAAAATGAGCACCAGGGGACACTTAGTGACTAATTGAAATGTCTTATATTAAAGACGGAAAGAAGTATTCAATCTCGTCTAAACCAAATCAGCAAGTTGGACAACAAAATGAAGATCACCTTAATCCTTAATTGGGATAAAAAAAAAATGGACACTTGGGATCTAAAATTATAAGTAAGCTTTCCTACTAATTGACATTGCCGAAAACAACACATTTTAGGATCATAATGAGAGTACAAATTAGGATCAATATTTGTGGACACTTGTCCTAAAACACAAATTGTTGATGATGCTATATTGATGATGTAATTTTTTTTAAAAGTTTTTTGAAGTAATACGTTGGTATAAGTAAATGAAGAGGTTACAACTGGAGTCCACTAATATTGGAACAGAAAGTTTGATATAGAGTTTAAATTCGGCCACGTCCTTTTTTATTAATTTCTTTTTTCTCTTAAAAATTTCCACATTTCTTCTATTTCAAAGTCTTCCTCTAATTTTCTTTTTGATGGGCTGCTGAAAGTTTTGACATGACAGTTTCAGCTGTCATTTCGCGCATTTTGGGTCCTAAAAAAGGAGGTGGTGGTTTGTTTTGCTACATTGCTTTCCACTGTGCATGTATTTATAGTAAGATTAATGATATTCGAAAACCCCTTTTTCTGATGATTTTTAATTTTCTCACGAACAAGTTATTTTTTTCTCACGCATGAGTCGATTATTTGCTTTGTTTTTTTTTTTAAAAAAAAAAAATTCACCCCAATCAATCCCACTTAAATATAAGTAAAACTCCCGAACCTTGGTCTATCACCAAAAAATATAACAACCTAATCACTATACTGTCATTCAATTTCCAATTAATTATTTGCTTTGTTAATTGGCAAGAAAAACTCATAGATCACCACGATTTGAAGTAAATTTTAGCCTTAACAAAACTAAAAAAGACTCGCTAGAATGACAAAAATGATATTTCAGGGGGATATATTCACATGCAAATTAATATGCATTCCAGCGAATTTATAATGACATTTTCATCCGAATAAATAATGGCACTTAAAGCAAAAAATTATTGCCCTAAACCCTTGTTTGTGGGTTAATTTTCCATCTTTCGATAATTGTACCAGTATATACCTAATCTAATTTCTACTGTTGAAGCTTTGAAGGGGATTCCGAGAATCAAGTAGAAAGGAAAAAAAAACCTATAATATAAACGATTGATTAGACTGACACTTGTTAAAATTTAAGAGTATTAATGCCGTGAAATATGGATTAAAGTCCACTTGGAATTAATGACAAGACAGTTTGATAGGTATATTAGAAGGTGGGAATTAATCCAATATTTTCCTCTTCTCTTTTTTTTCGTGACAAAGAATCTAAAGTAATTAAACAAAAAAGAAGTTGAGAAATTCTGCGTAATTTTGCAATTCATACTAATAAATGTGGGGCTCCTAATTCGATTTGGTCCACCTTTAAAGGACCAATTCAGCCATCAGAAAAGGGAAAGTGGTCGGTTATTGTCAAATCTAGTTTCTATCTATAAAAAGTAATTTGGGAATGATTTTGG